CCTTTGGTCAACGGGGGAGGGGGCGCTTGAGTGAGGGGGGCAAGGGGGGGTCCTAAAAGGTCTCGGGGACGGGGGTGATTTTTGCTTTGTTTATTTATTTTGTCGGGGTAGATATTGATCCTTCTCCATCCGCCCCGGAAACCAGCCTTTCCCGTGTCTAGAAAAGAGTTTGGCGCACCGAAGAGGCTGGATCCGGATGGCTCCATACTCAGGGGAGACCCACTGAAGTCGATAGGGCTGGAGGCGAAGAGCCCGTGGGTTTCAGTGAGTGCCCTCTGGCCAGAACGGACACTTGAGCCGTCCTCTAATCTCCCTGCCTGTGAATAGGGAGACTCGCGAGGTCGGTGAACGTGGGAACCCTTCCTTCGCCGTTTGCCCAGTCCCCGCGTGTCTCTCTAGCCCTACTGAATGTTCTCGGGCGCAAGGATGCAGGCTTGCTTGCCATATATAATTCACCGCCCTCGGTGCTCTCTTATTGAATCAAAATAAGTCCGTGCATTCTATTAAGCGGCGCAGGAATAACATCGAAAAGAACAAAGCCGTCTTTGGGCAGGCAGAGAGCTGCCCCGAGGAGCATGAATGCCGAAGTCCGTTGTGATGGTTTTTGGGTTGCAGGTTTATAATTGGGGGGGGCGCGTTTCTTGCACTCACCTGTAACTCTAATTTTGTCAAGCCCTAATATCTGCTTGGAACACAAAAACGCAACTTGGGTCAGGATGCCTGGGATCCTTTCTTCTCTGCTTTCCTTCAAAGGGAGCTCGGCGGCCAACGAGCCAGGCTTTGGGCCGCGATCCTAACGCTTTGTTTACACGGGAGTAAATCCTTTCGCTAGCACCACGACTTTACTCCGGAGCAAAGCTGTCTCTCTAGCCTTGCTCTCCGTAAACCGGCTGCCTCGATGACTCTCGGATATTTCACCCCAAGTGAAGATGAACGCAAGGGGGATTTACTCCCGAGTAAGCCGGCTTAAAGGCAGGGCTGTGTGAGCTGGCCCCCTCCGGAGATCTACAACTGGGGAACGTTATCATGTTGACGGACTGCAATCCCCAGAACCCCCCCCCAGCCGCCGGAGCTGGAGGAGGAGAGCGGCTGGATTTACTCCTGAGTACCCCCCCCCAAAAAAGGAGGCAATATTTTAACGGGAGGGGGACTGAGACACTGGCAGTGCAATGATTTTACAGCATTCCCTTCACTTCTTATCTCACCCGGCACCTAATGATAGTCGTTCTCCTGACGACACAGAATCCTTCTTCGACCACCCTCTGTTCTTCCACGCGCCCCCCCCCCGCGGTCCCAAATTTCAGAAAGGAAGGGAAGGGGGGGCACTTGGGGCCGAAAGACTCTCATCCACACCCGCAAAGAAAGGAAGAAAGGGGGCAAGCTTTCCGGCAGAGAAAGGGAGTAGAGGGCCCAC